GTGGTGTCCCTGCTCCAAGGATGCACACCCTTAAGGGAGACAACATAAGAAAATGTTTAGAAATTGAACATATTCCTAGGTAACCCCATTGCCTAAACTGGTGGCAATGAACTAATCCTTAGTATCAAAACTGATAAGGCAAACAAATGTGTTCTGGGAAGAATTTATAACCTTTTTTAAAAAAGATTTATTTATTTATTATTATTTATATAGCATTCTGCCTGCACGTATGCCTGCACACCAGAAGAGGGCATCAGATCTCATTACAGATGGCTGTGAGCTACCATGTGGTTGCTGGGACTTGAACTCAGGACCTCTGAAAGAACAGTCAGTGCTCTTAACCTCTGAGCCATCTCTCCAACCCCCTGTGAGCCATCTCTCCAGCCCGAATTTATAACCTTAAAATACTAATGTTTGAGAAGAAAGGTGAAAAAGACAAGGAAACAGAATGGAGAGCCGGTCAGTCCGCATGTCTGTGCATTTTATGTGCAGGGTCCATGTTGGTAGAGGGAAGGAGACGGGGAATATTCCGGAGAAACACTGTCTGAATGAGAACTGACTTATTTCCTCTGACATTAGCCTATAAAGAACCTGGTCTTGATAACTATTTAAATACATTGTTGCATTAGGGTCACGTGACTTCCTGAGGCAATACACAGAAATGTCTTTTCACTCCAGAAAGGACGCCAGCACCAAAGAAACAATTCCATCCCAGTTCAGCCTGGGGAGCCAGTGAGTTTTCTAGGGTTACTCACAGAGCATAAGAGAGAGACAGGCAGACATGTCATTGAAAAACCCTCCCCAGTGTGGCTGACGACTCAGGAGGGCTACATCGCAGACGACTGCTGTGCAGCTTACTGGCAGTCACGTCACCGAGGAGGCCCACTTCCTGGTTCAGTCACCACACATCACTCCAGAGTGAGGAGCCTCCCCTTCCCGCCACAAGGGAATGTTAACAGCTCCACCGTATGAGGGTGAGCAGTTACTCTGACTTGAGAAAGGCTCTTGCTGCCCAGCCTCATGACTAGACTTCAAATCCCTGGACTCCCCTGGTGAAAAGAGAACACCAACTCCCATGAGTTGTCTTGGACTTCCGCACGTGTGCCCTGCATGTATGAATACACACCTACCCAACTACACACCTATCCACTCAAACATAATTTAGGAGAGCAACAGTCACGGCAATTTGGAGGAAACGGCAATACAACAATTAGGTTTTATAAGTAAGAGAGGTAACTTAGGCACATAGGAGGATGTATGTAGCTTCTATGAGTATTGGTTACTTTCTGACAAGAGCAACTTAAGGGAGGAAGGGCTTATCCCAGTCTTGGTATTAACTTTCGGTATTCATTACCTTTTTCTGTGATGATGGTAAGAAGGCATGGCAGAGGAGTGTGTGAGAGCTGGTCACACAGTATCCACAGAGGTGGGTGCCTGTGCTTGGCTGGCCTCCTCTTCTTTTTATTTCATGGGATGGTGCCACCAACATTCAGGGTGAGCCTCCCTCCTCAGTTAAGCCTCCTTGGGAACTCCTCACAGACATGGGCAGAGGTGTGTCTCCTGAGTGATTCCAAAGCCAGACGAGTTGACACTGAAGATCAACCATCACAAGTTCACCCCCCCTTCAGTTTGATGCCCCAAACACATCACTGTTAACCACAGGAATCCACTTCTGGGCTCTAAAGTCTCATATCAATTTCGTAATACAAAATGCACTTAGGCCATCTCTCAAAGTCTCTAAAATCTTAACAGTTTCTAATTGATCAAAAGTATTACTGCAGGGTTTTGTTTGTTTGGTTTTGTTTTGCTGGCACTCAGGAACTCTCTTAGCTGTCAGCCCTAGAAAATAACAGTTACAAGGTTTTACTTGCCCACAACATACAATAATGAACAGTTAACATTCCTATTCCAAAAAGGGGGTGGGGGAGGGCATAGCTAGAAGAAACTGGACCAAAACAAGACCAGAGCTCAGATAGGCAAGCACCAAGTCCTACAGGCTCATGGCCTGCATTTGGGGCTCCTGCCGGCATCAGCTAAACTCAAACAGCAGAGTAACTGTGGTGATATATTATTTATGGTTTAATAAAGCTTGCCTGAGGATTCAGAATGCAAATCCAGCCATAGAGGCCAGACAGTGGTGGCACACACCTTTAATCCCAGGACTCAGGAGACAGAGGTAGATGGATCTCTGTGAGTTCAAGGACACCCAGGGCTACACAAGAGATAATCAGTCTAAAAGAGAAAGTTCACACGGAGATCTCAGCACTTGGGATCACACGCCTTTAATCCCAGCAATAGAGAGGTATATATGGAAGAAACAAAGGGTCACATGTGGCAACTGGTCTCCAGCCATGTTGAAGAGAGCATAGCAGTCTAGGATTCTGAGGCTTCGTGGAGAGCAGAGCAGTCTGGAGATGGAATTCACTGGATTGCCCCTTCAGTCTGAGCATTGGTAGAGGTGACAACTCTCTAGTGGCTGACTGCTTTGCTTCTCTCATCTTCAACTTGAACCCCAATATCTGTCTCGGCATGTTTATTATTCCTGTTACAAGAAACTAAGATACTTTCTTATCACAAAGTTGAACATTTTTTTTTATGTATATATCTTTCTGCTCCAGTAACCATGCCACAGCTTGGGTGCTAGTTGCTAATTTCCTCTGAGAAACAAATTAGTCCATTACACCTGTCTGCAGACTCACTCAGGACGTGGGCAAAATGTAGCCACACCCTTAGCCAGAACATGCATGAATGGCCTCTAGTCCAGTTCCCAATGGAGTCCTTGTCCCACTCCGAAGCCTCATGAGCTGGGACTCCACTGACCGCATTTCTCTTCTGGAACCCCACCAGAATGTTCCATTAAGTTCTGCTTACAGGACCTTAGGGCTTCTCTGGCCCCAAGCACCAAACTCTTGCACATCCCTCCCACAAACCAGTTCCAAATCCCTAAGAGCCACACAGAGAGAGGGTTATCACAGCCATAGCCTGCTGCTAGGGTGAATTTTCTGTGGTAGTGACTTTTCTCATTGACGCAACAACACATCCGACACAAAGGCAACTTAGGAAGGGTCCTGTCCCTCATGGTGGGGGAGCAAAGGGTAGCAGGATCACGAGGCAGCTGGTCCACTGCATCCACAACCAGAAAACAGAAAGATGAATGCTGGTGCTCTGGTGGCTTCGTCTCTTTTCCTCTTCTCATTCTGGAATTCCAGCCCTGGGCTGGGGCCACCTGCATTCATGGTAGATCTTTCCTCCTCAGTTAACCATAAACACCCTCACAGACACGCAGAAAAGTGTGTTTTCTAGGTGATTCCAAATCCACGCAAAGCTTCAACCACCTGAGTAGGCAAATCCTGAGGATGTTTCCCACGGGAACAGGGATGTTTCTCCTAGATGCAGTCTCCATGGATACCAACGGTTTACTGTGCTTATCTTAGAAAGCAAGAAAGAGTAGCATAAATCAAAACAAGACAGATAGAGAAAATAAGACATTAAAGACGAATGGAGGATTTGGAATGATAAAACACAGAGGGCTTTAAAACAATTGAAAGAGAAGCCACACAACTGTCAGATAACAAAAAGGCTTAAGAGAACTAAATCACGTTTTTAAAAAATTAAGTCACCAAAGCTGACCTAAGAAGTGGAAAAATCTGTAATACCCAATGGTCAGACAGAGGAATAGTCATTAAAGGACCTAAGGCAAAGCAAACACTCTCATCTAGCATTCAAAAACCAGAGCAGGAAGCACTACTGTAATTTAAGTAGCACAAGCCAGACCGTGGACAGCTCTCTGATCCATTTAAGAAAATCATAGGTATTTTCTACTTTAAAGGTAAAGCCTCAACAGTAGGGAAGGGAAGGGGAGGGGAGGTGTCGGAAGAATAGCAAGTTATAACTGTAGAAATGAAATTAAGGCCGTCTGTATCAGGAAATCGAGTCGTATAATGTTTTAAGTTTAAAAAATGAGAGGGGAGCTGGCAAGATGGCTCAGCAGATAAAGGCACTTGCAGCCAAGCCTGGCGACCCGAGTTCAATCCCCAATACCCACATGGTGGAAGGAGATCGCCTACGTTAGAAAAATTGTTCTCTGGCATCTGTTCACATAAAGTGACACCTATGTCCCAGCCCTGTTCCTCATGGTAAACAAACCTGTCCTGCACACTGTCAACTGCCCTGTGGGGTGACTGCACATCTTTCTACATCTCCATCACCTCCTGCCCTGTCATACTCAGCTCATGCTCCTAGAATATGGAAGCAGTCAAATGTCTTCCCAGGGGATCAACTCACCCTTCCCCTAATTTTTCTTTTTCTTTGCTATGTTGCTGGTCTAGAAACACCTGGGCTCTAGGAACCCTCAGGCCTTAGCCTGAGCAACTGGGAATACAGGTGGGAGCCACTGTCCCTAGCCACCCTTTCCTCTTGAGGTACCAGGTATTGGCCACCTTCTACCTATGGCTAAATTCTCTGCAGGTGTAACCAGTTTCTCTCCTTTCATTTTCCCTGAACTTTCTCCCTCTTACCCAGCTTTCAGCCCCAGCACCCCACCAAAAGTGCTGAGCAATGTCTCCACGCTCCCGATTCTGCATCATGAGTGTGGTCCTCCTGGTTTATCTGCTGCATTTGCTAACACAAGCCTGAACCCTACGTCGATCCACACCCTGTGTCTGAATGGGCCTGCTCTGCCTCCTCTTCACCTGCCTGGACTCTAAATGATGACCTCTATCCTGCAAGCTCAGCCCAACAGCCCCTAACAGGGTGGTGGGTAGTGAGCAACATCCAGCACACAGTCACTGGAGGGCAGGGCTGCTTCCAGCTGCTCACTCCAGGCGTGGGAGTCTACCAGAAGCTGCACCTGGCTGAGGTACTATGTTTGATGTCTGTCCCTGGTGATGATTCTAGAATTCTACAGAAGAAGAGGAGGAAGAGGAGGAAGAGGAGGAGGAGGAGGAGGAGGAGGAGGAGGAGGAAGCGGAGGAGGAAGAAGAAGAAAACAGGCAAGCACGGGAAGTCAACAATGCATTTTATTTCACAGAAGAACAGTGCCAACTCTTTGGTATGCAGGTTGGCTGCACAGTCTGTGTTTACATTGTGAAGAACAAGGTATTTTATTCCCCATCCACTGATCAACTATGATGCTATTTATTTATTTATTTATTTATTTTGAGGCACAAATGACACTTGAACACAAAGTGGCCCTGGACCCTTTTGAACACTGAGGTGGGATGAGCATCCACAAGAGGCTACCTCTCTGCCCCTTTCATGTAGGCCTGGGGCGGGGACGCTCTCCTGCTGGCTTTCTGATGGGATCTAGGAACTGGGGCGGCTTCTGATGTCTCTTTATCCAGCTTCCCTTGTCTGCTAACTTCTTCCCAAATAACTGTATTTGAGGCAGTGTGAAATTGTCCCAGGCAAGTTTCTGGCACCATGGCTAAGTACCAACCTAGGAGGAAACAGGAACCATGGCAAGACCTGTTTCTTCTGAAGCCTTGGACTCTGTCCTGGCAAGCCAGGAAGCAATGGTGAAAACCCCCAGAAATTTCCCCAGGTCTGGCATCAGGGCTGGAGGGCCAGGAGAGCTAAGAACTCAAAGCCGGTCTCCCTTCCCCCTGCAGCCCCACCCCATCTGGTCCCCAAACCCCATTTAATGTCTGCTCCTTCTAAGGCTAAGTATCACAAGGAGGAGGTACGCCATCACAGTTATTTAGAGCTGATAAATTAGAAAGGAACCAGGGGAGAGTGTCTGTCCCTGGGACCTCCTGAAGCACCAGCTGCAGACTGAGAAACTGAGTTTAAGGGGCCCAGGGCAGACTTCCCCCAGCAACACCAGTGACTGTCCCAGCAAGTGGCAGGGGACACACATTGACAAGGCTCCTGAAGCCTCCTCTGTAAGAGACCAAGATCTCAGGCAGTGAGTTACTGATAGCAAGACCACAGTCTGGACTTGTGTGGGTGTCAGTGTCCAGCCTGGTGAGGAAGTCTGTCAGGAGATAGCCCCTCCCCCTCAGACTGAGTCTCCAGCAAGGGCATTGACACCATCCTGCCCTCCCCAGGGAGCAATGAATCGCCAACCAAAGACCCAACCCACAAAAGTCAAGTCCAGTTCAGGGAAGATGGCAAATTTGGCGTTCAAGAAGACAGATCCTTGAAAACACTATGTAGCTAAAGCGCTCCTTCAGGACTGCCCTTACCTAAGGACGGTGACGCGCCATGGCGGGCACACGCACACATACGTTCACAGGCACACACTTGCACAGGGGGATTGAGGAGGAGAACAGATGGGCTGCATTTGTGTCCTGGAAGGATGAGAACGACAAACACCAAAACCTTCTGCATATCCACTGGGTCACGCTGGATCTCTGCTACATATGTGACAAGATTGTAGAAATTGGCTAGCTTTATTAAAAAAAACAAACAAGCAAAACAAAACAAAAACTCCCACCAAAACTGTAAGGTTTGATTCTAGTGAGAGGTAAGGCCCACCCTCCTCTGACTCCTATTTGCTTACTTCTTCTACAAAAGATAAACACCAAAAGTAAGACCCAGGAAGCCCACAGCCCCCATACCAGACTTCAGGATAGAACCAAGGACAAGACAGGCTTTGGCCAAGACCTGGTGCCAAGCTCCCATGCTTACCCCTTCAGTCCTCACAGTTCACACCCTTTTCTGGAGCTCTCTCTCCCTCCTTATGCTGTTCCCAGGAGGCCATGGTGCTGTGACATCAGCATGTAGTTTTATTAAAAAGAACACAGTGGGAAGTGCATTTTTTTCACTTATGTCAAGGGAGCCCACCAATGATTCAAACTTCTCTAAACACGAACTGCATGAGGAAACCTGATGGCTGCTATGTGTGGGCACACACTCAGCAAGTGACCATTTTACCTCCCCGTTGGTTGGAGTGGCAAGAGAAAGCCAAGAGATACAAACTAGAGAATTGCCTGAGAGTTTTAGACCTTCCCGTAACACAGGAGAGAACAAGGATGGGCGCCATGCCGCTCTCTAGTCCTCTCCATGGTGTCTGCTTCTGCTCCCATCAAGGCGACTGGAGGCTCGCCCTTGAACACTGACTGAATTTGCAACTCACACAATGCACCCTTCAACCTCCAGAAACACCCTTCCATGTGGACCCCCTGCAGGAGCCGTGTAGTTAGAGTGACAGAAGACCCAGTCCAATTTTACATTACTGTACAGATAACAGATCTTCACACACAGCACAGCCCTGCTTGGCAGCTTCTATGTATTTACAAACACACAGTTGTACATATATACACGTTAACAAAATACAGGGCATTCTAAAAATTAGATCCATCTTAATACACTTTTTAACGTTATTCAATCAATACTATTAAAAATTATTTCCCCATAATCTAAAGTAACTCCCTGCCCCACAAACTAATATGGTTTCTGTTTACATTCTTCCCTGTGAAAATTTCTTTTCCCTTGTTCCTTGATATCTCCCCCTAAACCCTCTTCTGGCTCCCCTTAATGTGAGTCTGGGCGTCCGCCATCCTGGCTGGGCTTTCGTCTGGAGCATTCCTCTCCAGCAGCCGGGTGTCCTCAGGAGTCCAGCTCCAACTGCTCTTGATTCTCACTGAGTCTTAACATGAGCTGCTGTTCATAGTAGAGGCTCTTTGCATAGTTAATTTCTTGTGATAACTTGACAGCAAGGACCTCCGATTTCACATGCACCTAGGGAAAAGACAAGGATGAGCACACTGTCCTGAGGTGGGGCAGTCAAACACAACCAGAGGGCACGGGCAGAATGCAGCTACCCAAGAGCAGGTCCCATCTGAGCATCCAAGACACATTCCCAAGAGCCTGTGTCTGGTTCTCCCTGGTCCAAGCTTTTAGTTTATGCCCCCGGTTACTATAGGCAGACTGTTACCACCTGCATTTGTGACTGTAACTGATGAGATTCCATTCAGAGGTAAGGCAGGGATAACAATTAAACCCCTTACTCAAGTCCAAAGCCTGGTGGTGACCGGCACCGGAAGAAGAATTAGCAAGCATGTGCCTGAAGCCTTTCTTATCCAGAATGCTTCATGCTAGTCTGCCTTGAAAGGGGGAAGACAGTGATGGGTAGGCACAATGGGTGGAAAATACACACTTTGGGGAATTAACTTTCAATCACCCAGCTCTGATTTAAGCCAGTGATCACAAGGGGCCCGGCAAGTTCAAACCCACTCGAGTTCATTCTTGAGAGAATGGGGAAGGTTGAAGAGTTCCAGAGGAGAGACCCAGCAGGATGGCTTTTGTGATCTATAGAAAGACCAGAGATGCACACAGCCACTCTGAAGGGCGCAGCTTTGGAGACGGAGATGGAGCAGGACCGACCAACACCTGGTAGCACAGCTGCTTCCTGCACCTGTTCTGCTGTGGGCTCGCTGGCCCAGCTTAGTAGAGTAAGGACTTCTTCGGTCTAGACACTAGCATGGGGATCGGGTGGGTTACCTGGGTCTGAGTGCCAGCTTGTGCCAGAGTCAGCTATGTGGCCTGAGGAAAGCAGCTGCCCTGACTCCTTGTCTAACAACACGGAGGAAGAGTGGGGAATGAACACTAGAAGGCAGGAGCATCTCCACCCAAAGGTCCTGACACACACCTCCCACGGGGGAGGCAAAACAGCACTTTTATTACAAACAGCCATTGGGTGTGCTTCATATCCATCACTGCTCGCACAGAGCAAAAGGTTGTGCTCTCGGGACACCAGAGAAATAATAGTGTGTGCTGTGTCACTGTCCTGGACTTGAGGCACCCATCAGCACTTGGTACCACGTTTCAGGGACACAAAACTGTGTTATCTGAACCGTGGTTATCAGCTTGTTGATGGGTAAGGGAGACACAACGGCAGGAGAACACACCCGGGGCTTCCAGCAGAGCGGGAGCAGGGCAAACCTCCCACTGCAGTCAAGGTAAAGCAGGAGGTAGAGCAGGGCTTGTCCAGGTGAGTGGCAAGGTACTCACCATTGGCTTCTGGTGGGACGGGCCTGGGATGGACACGCCGCTGCTGGAGTTGGCAGCTTTCTTGGTCACCTGCACATACACCTTCCCATGGTCTTTGGAGACAAGGCAGTGGTAGAGGTCGTCATATTTGACCTCGAGGAAAATGGCCTCTCGGTCTACGTAGTCCCCACTCTTCAGGAAGTACACGGCCTTGGATGAGATGAGCACACAGTAGCTGTCCATGTTCTCCACGGCTATGAAGCTGCATGGGGAGAGAACGGGGGATGCTGAGCTGCTCCACGTTGGGGTCAGGCTGTCCCTTCATGTTCAAAGGGACAAAGGCCTGCTGAGGTCTCTTGGGTCTGCAGCCAAGGCTTCCCCAGGCTTCCCAATGACCACACCTGTGCACGTGTGTGGCTCCAGTACTCTGGGCCTCCATTTCCTCATTTGTGTGTTTGTATCAGGAAGGACTTGGCCTCAGGAGCTGCTGTCAGGCAGGCCCATATTCATGAGCTGTAGGGTGCTCATGAACAAAGGATGTCAGCCAAGAGTTTCAAGACCAGAAACAAATTCCTGCTCTGAAATGGGCTTCGTGGGGTACTCAGTGAGCTGTGGATAGCTTGGGAGTTAGAGAAAACGGGAACAATGTTGTGTTGACAGGACACATGACACAGGCCAGCTGGGCCTGGAGAGATGCTAGAAGACTAAGGAGACAGTCTGACCGCACACCCAGAATTTGCATACCTGCATTACTGTTTCCCTCTGACAGCCCTGAAGAGAGCTCATGTGACCCCTGGCCAGTATGGCCAGGGACATGGGGCTTGAGACATCACTTCCCATCGTTCTCAGAACGATAGTCAGGGCTTCTAAGAGATCCCAGGCCACTAAGAAACAATTTAGTTGCTGGGCGTTGGTGGCACACACCTTTAATCCCAGCACTGGGGAGGCAGAGACAGGCAGATCTCTGTTAGTTCAAGGCCAGCTCTGGTCTACAGAGCGAGTTCTAAAGCTAAAGAGAAACCCTGTCTCGAAAGAAAGAAGGGAAGGAGGGAGGGCCGGACAGACAGAGGAAAGGCTAGCAAATTAAGTTTTGAAGAAGAGAAAGACAAGACACCTGAGCATCTTCTGCAGAGCTCACAGACTGCTGAGGAAACTTCCGCAGGTCACACCTTTCTGCTCAGCTGCTGAGCCAAGAGTAGTCACCATGGAAACACAGTGACAGCCTTCCCAGCTTGGTGGCCTCCTGTATCTTATGCTGGCGTTTCACAGTGTGCCTGGGCATTAGGGGCAGCAAGGACACACTGGGTGATAGCAAGCATACTAAGTAAGGGCTGACTGACAACAGGTTGGCTGTGAACCTTGGCCTTTTAAACTGTGTTTGCTCAGAGCCAAGGCTCCACCTGGTACTGCCATGAATCCAGGTCCAGCATAGCCTTGGTTCAGGGTCATAAGGCATCAATCCTCAGAGAGGGGCAGTCATTGAGGGCAGGAGAAGGCCTGCTTGCTGGCCACCAGGGGCTTTCCTGTCAGACCCAAGCGTGGCTGGCCCTCACTCTCCTCTGCGGGAGGAGCTCTGGAGCTCACACTTCACTCTCTTGCTCCCCCAGTCTGAGACACCATCCTTAGTCTTGAAGCTTCCCCAAATGCCCAAGCCCTTGACTGCAGACATTTCAGCACTTTGGCCTGCCAAAGCACTGCCAGAGGATTTGCTCTGCTTCCGAGCTAAGCATCCTGGCTCTCGGTGGAGCTCTAAGCCTGGGTGTGGTCCACTGTATACCCACACATGACTTCCTGAGTACCCACCACCAAGTCAGTCACCCGTGAGGACTTGCTAAGTATCCACCTTGTTCTAATCGTCATTTTAATTATGGCTCCCATGATAAAAATTGGGGTTTGCTGTTCTCATTTAACTGGTTGGCAATGCTGAGAATGTAGACTTGTAAAGACTCACTGCCAAAATTAGAAGCGCCCAGCGGCCCTCCATGCTCAGCTGGCTTTACACACCCTCCTCACGTCCCACACTCTGAGAGTCAGGGGCCGAATTACTGAGTGAGGAGAAGGGAGCAGGCCAGGACACGGAGAGACAGAAAGAAGAGGGAACAGCACAGGGCCAGCTGGAACTGGATGGAAAATGAAGTAAACACACAGAAATGACCTTGTACTGGAGCACAGGGCCAGGAGCTCAGCCATGAAGGCTGTCCCAGACTCTGAGGAGACTCTAAAGGTGGCCAGGAGGCAAGGTGACGGCAGGCACACACATTACAACATCCAGCTGAGACCGGCTCTCTAGCCTCCCGCTAAAGCTCCATCCTTCACCAAGGGACACTCCATCTGTCCAGAGGACTCAGTGACACCCAGAAGATAATTTACACCCAAGGACACAGGGGCTGGTCCCGAGCATACTACCCAACTCCCTTCTAGGAGGAGGCTGCCATGGCTCAGGTCGTCACAGGCTAGGAAACCTGAGGAGGAAGGGTAGCTTTGGGAAGGCAGACTGACCGCATGGTGAAGAAAAGCTGGGCTAGGCTTGCAGGATGGGCCTGCAAGCCCTCTGGCCACGTGGCTTGTGTTTTGGTAGTTCAGCTCCTTCTTCTCTGAGGGAGACGGTGCTGCCTTCCAGCTCCTTCAGTTAACACAAGATGGAAAGGCTCCACGGTGGGACAGAACAAATGCAGTACAGCAGTCGTATCTGTCACGTCTGCCCTCTGCGCCCAGCAGCCCTGCTCAGGCCCTGGGGCTGCCGCTGCTCCTAGGTAGTACTCCCTGTTCTAAGGCCTTCAAACCAAAAGCAGGTCAGAACCAAGGGCAGAGCTGAGAGAAAGACAGCTGGGCAATGACCCAGGGCCTGGGCAGCCAAGGGCTGCCTCCCCACCCTCGCTGAGGCTTCCCCTGCAAACCACTACTGGAGGTCAAGGTTGGGGTCCCACCAACACCACTGCTGTCATTACAGCTGATCCCCTATCACCTCCCCCCAACACCAAATCTGGAAAACACATCAAAGATTCATTCAAATGGCTCCTGAGCAGACCCTTCACCCGCTGTCCTGATCCCAAACTTGTCACTCACTGTGAGAAGTCAACTTGGGGGCAGAGCAGAGGTCTCTTGGTCTTTCCCTCTCCTATTCCTTCCCACCTCCTTTTCTCTGGGCCTGCACACCTGCAGGCCAGCTCTCTACAGGCTCCGCACCCCCCACCCCCAGCCAACAGAGCAGGAGCCATGGCTGACCGCATGCTGACACCTAGACTTGGACTTCCCACTCTCCACCTACGGCCACTCCTCACTGCCGCTGGCCCACAGAGGGGCTGATGGAGAGTCTCATAGGTGACAGAGGAGGGACACTCCATCTGTCCATGATCTGTTGTTGACACAGGGGGCAGAGAGGCCCTCTCTGGAAAACTAACCACTAGTGGCCCCAAGTCTGACAACTCAGACTTCTTTTAGGACAGAGACCCTGTGTGCAGTGGGTAGCAAGTGAAATAGTAGTGAAAATCTCTCATTGTATCACCTTTATTATATATCCCTCTCCTCCCAAACAGCTCTGTCTGACTTGCTAGACCATGAACTCGCTGAGGAACACCATGAACTTTGTATTTGGCCTGGCACACAGGGAGGCTCACTGGATTGGGCAAGGGTCAGAAGACCACAGTTGAGAGGCCACTACGAGGTCTGGAGGAATTCAACTGCACATCAACACTGGGTGTGGGGTGCCAGGGGCCATGCTTCCCTCAGAACTTTTATCTGAGCAGCTGGGGAACCTGTCACAGGTCCTCAGGTGTCAAGCATTCCTGATGGATTAGTTCCTGGCTTAGAAAGTGTAAGCTGAAGCTACAGCTGTGGCTGAGAGACACAGAACCCACCTGGCCATGCTGGGATCCATTCCCAGCAAAGAAAGGGGGAAGGGAGGGAGATAAGAAAGGGGATTTTAACGATTATTTGTTTTCTGAATTCTGTTTGAGTCTACTAGCCACGGAAATGAGTTGGCTTCATCAGAAGAGAAAGTGGCATTTTAGCATGCTCCCTTGGGCAGGATTCTCTTCTTGAAAAAGTCCCTCCTCCCATGCCTCTAGGAGACAAGCCCTTAAAGAGAAACACCTGAGGCTTACAAGCCTGTCTTGCTTTCTTTTTATATACTTTTCTGCATTTGCGACAACAAATTTCCTAAACATTACTTTCTATCTAAATGAGGAAAGAAGCCAAGGATGGTGCTGTGGCAGCTGCTGGGCTTCTGTGGAAAAGTGAGGTGGCCCTTGGGCTTGCCATCTGAATGGGCAGCCTTGACGAAAGACTCAAAGTAGGAATTTCACAAAAAGCAAAAGAACAGAAAGATAACTAACACATGACTGCTGGCCGCCAAATAGGCCTTGCTCAGAGAAGCTAATCGTACAAAACAAGTAGCGTTTTACCACCATCTCCAGCCAGGTTCTGGATTAAGGCTGAGAAGGAGTCACAGAGGCACCGCTGATGAACCTGCAATGAGGCCCGCCAGACCTCAAATCGGATGTCAGTGACAATCTGTTCAATACTGTTTAATTAAATGGAAAAAACCCCACAAAACTAAATGCAACTTGATGTGGGAGATCAAAGTTGAAGCTGCTGTGGGGCTGGGGACTTTGTGGGGTTTTCACGCCATCAGGAAGTAATTACACAATATTTTCCAGAAGTAAAACAGGGAGTCTAACTGGAAAAAAATGTGGAAACATTTAGTTACAACAGTAGAGCAAGGTATTAAAGACCCTTTTAACGGGTTAACTCTGAGGGAATATGCAAATAATGAGGTCCTTAGACATGTTTTTAATTACAAATCTAGGGGAAAAGTCAGGCAGAAGTCGGCACCCGAGCCTCTCTTGAGCACCCCCCTTCCTGCAGACAGATGTCTGGACCACTCGCATTGCCCTGGGGACAGGCTGCTGAGTGAGGACACTCCGAGTCACGTCTGCCACAGACTCTGCTGACCTCTCCTGTATGCCCAGGAAGACCGAGGTCACATGCCTCCCTCACCACCCACTGGCCGGGTTCCACCCTCAGCTTGGGTGGAGACACAGGGTTTTCATCTTCAAAGTCAAAATTCATTCAGCCAGTAACTGTGCCCAGATCACATGAACTTCAAGCATTTCATGAAATCGATTTCACTGATTTCATCCTGACTCCAGATCTCAGGTCCCTGGCCCTTTCCCAGTGTGTGTACCACATGGACAGCAGTCCCATGGTGACTGGACTACACAATTTTTCCCTTGTGTTTTCTAGTCTTATGTCATTCTATTACAAATAAATCTTGTTGCAATGGACCAGGGCCGGTTTGGATAGACTAGAGGTGGGTTAGCAAAGACTTTAAAATAGAACACACAAGGATCTATAATTTTACTTAACCTACCCTCCTTTTTGAGACAGGGATGCCTATAGCCCAGACTGACCATAAAGGTGGCTGAGCATGGCTTTGAACTTATGATCCCCCTGACTCTCCCTCCTGAGTACAAATGCCGTGACTTTGGTTTATGCAGTGCTGGGGATGGAACTCAAGACTCTGTGTATGCTGGCAAGTACTCTATTGCTTAGCTACATCCCTCAACCCATACCTAACCTTTGGTAGCATCCCTAAATCCCCAGTGATTGGAAAGCGGGACCTGAGTTAACACAAATGTTGAACTGCAGTTCTCCAAGCTGAGTTTATTGAATGATTTGAACCCCAGGCACTGCTCTGGGTTTGGAGGGTTCTCCAACGTATGGAACACCCTTAGCCATCATTGGCTGTCATTCTAGTAGTCTACACTATGCCCTGCTTGGCTGAGAAATGATTCTCTCGGCCTTTGAGTTGGAGGCCCAAAGTCCCATCAAGAGTGTGGTATATAGGATGGTCTCAGCCCTCTCAGCCTTCAGAAATGGACATCTAAGTTTCTGTTACGGAAGCCGCTCAGCCCACAGCATGTTGTTAGGTAGCAGAGCAGGCTCCAGGGATGAAATACACAGTCTTATCTAGAGATGCTCCCATGACACATGGCAGGCCACATCCAAGAAATCTCCTAAATCCTGGACTTCACTTTCTAAGTCCCCATTCAAAAAGGTATGAGATGTGAGCTGAGCCTCTCTGGTACCGTCTCCACCAATGACACTGAAGGCCATCCCAGGAGCCAATCTCCCCCTGAGCTCTTCCAGCAGCCAGCCACACCACAGTGTTCAGATTCTCCTTTGCTATCCTCGCCTCGCCTCACAAGACCCAAGTTACACTGGCACATTGCTGTGTCCCAAATGCAGTCCTCTCATACCTGGTCAAGTCACAGAGCACTTTACATCCTAAGGATTTCCACAGAATATCATCAAAGCATGCCATGGCTGCCACATCAGCTAAGAATAATCTCAGTGGCTGAAAATGTGACAAGGTCCTGCCTGGGTTACTCAAAGAGTGGCAAAACAATCAAGATAACTGCCTTTCCAGAACATTTGATGAGTAATTGTTTGCTACTTGCTTGTGGTTCATTTTGCTAGCATCCTATAGCAAACACTGGAAAGCAAAGTTTAAGTTAATTGTTTATGGGAAAGGCATCTCTAATACTCCACACGTTGGCCTCTCTTTGAGCTATCTACAGAGAGTCATGCTGCAGAAATGACACAGCAAGGTCCACTCCAGAACAGACTGAGAGCCACTCCCTCCAGTAAAGGCAGTTTATAAGAAGTCCTATTGATACCCATTGGACATTTAGGACAAGCGATCCTTCAGCCTCTTCCAAGGGCCACATCAGCTTGAAACTCCTGGGTCACAGGGAAGTTTCTCAAACTCAAAGACAGACAAAGCAACACAGTGGACTGTTTCTCCAGCCCCTACTCACAACTCATCTTGGATGTTGTCTGTCAGCTTGAAGAGCTGCTCCTGTCCTTCTGCCTGGCTCTCAGAATATCGAGGAAGCAGCCCCTGTGGGCCAGTGCAGCAACGTGGTTTCCGAACCCTCTGGGCTTGGGTCCTAGAAGACAAATGGAAGGGAGAGGTTAAGTGCCAAGGTTAAAAGGATTTTACATCCTCACTTGGAAAAGCACTGTTTATACACAGGAGCAAGCTGCAGCAGGGCTGTGTGGTCTATAGCATGCCCACTATGAATTCAGACTGGGCCTCATAATCCTTTCGCTACAGGATTATTGGCTCAATCAGATGACCTCCTTGGCCTCCATCTCACTTTCTGTGTAATGGGCTGGCACAACCTACCTCCTGGCAGGAAGATCAAATAAAAAAGTACCCATTGGCCTTGTGCTGGAGAACATAGGCTACCCATCACTGCGGCTCTTTAAGGTCATCATAACTAGCCTCCTGGTGGACCACACCGGTTCATCATGTTTTGCTAAGGAATCTCTTTAGGTTGGGCCATCAGGAGGAACACCAAGGGGCCTGGGCTTCAGTGTGAACCTGCTATGCTGCCAGACTCCTGAGGGGTGAGCTCAGTCTCTTGGGTAAAGGGTAAGGAATGCAGTGGCCATGTGAGGGGGCCAGTCCCAGGCCACAGCAGCAGCCCTAACTCATGCAACTTGGCTGTTGGTTGCCCAAAGGAATCTGCTTTGCTATGGCTTTCAGGGCCGGCTGCTGATGTCTTTTTCCACAAGCCATAGACAGGGTAATTGACAAATACTTTTTGGTGTTTTCCTAGAAACAGGAGTCCATATTTGTCTTGGAAAGGCGGTGCATACTTCAGATGACTGATAAGAGTGTACCGGGTCTGTCCTCGACCTTGTACTTGCTGTACTTTTTATTATTTGTTCCTGGAACCCACTGAAGCAAAACATCCCTCTCTAGACATACCTCAAAGAGAGGAACAGGCGGCCACACTGAGTCAGCACTTTAGAACCACGTACTGGTGGTAGTAGAGATGGACTGGCTGGGGAGCAGTGTCCTG